CCTTTGTTATCCAGGAACTGCCTACACATTATGGCCACATGAGACCGGGCATTGTCCTGCACCAGGAGGAACCCAGGGCCCACTGCACCAGGAGGAACCCAGGGCCTACTGCACCAAGGTTGCCCTGTGGATTTTATCCCAGTACCTAACATCAGTCAAGGTACCACTGGCTATGACATGGAGGTCTGTGCGACCCTCCCAGGATATGCCTCCCCAGACCATCACTGATCCACAGCCAAACTGGTCATGCTGGATGATGTCACAGGCAGCATAACGTTCACCATGGCGTCTCCAGACTCTTTAATGCCTATCACATATGTTCAGTGTGAGCCTGCTGTCATCTTTGAAGAGAACAGGACACCAATGACAGACCTGCCAATTCTGGTGTTCACTGTTTCTAACAGTTTGGTCAGAAACATGCACACCAGTAGCCTGCTGGAGCTCATTTTGTAGGACTCTGGCAGTGCTCCTCCTGTTCCTCCTCACAAAAAGGAGCAGATACTGGTCCTGCTGCTGGGTTGATGCCCTTCTACGGCCCTGTCCAGCTCTCCTGGTGTAACGGCTGGTCTCCTGGTGTCTCCTCCATGCTCTTGAGCCTGTGCAGGGAGACACAGCAAACCTTGCAAATACACGTATACTGTAGATGTGCCATCCTGGAGGAAGCAGACTACCTGTGCAACCTGTTTGGGCTGCAGGTGCCACTTCATGCTACCAGTAGTGACAAGGACACTAGCAGAACACAAAACTAGAGAAGAATCAGTCAGGAAGGATAAGGAGAGAGCAACCTGTCTGCTTTTGCCTCTGCATTGCACTTGTTGTCACTTTCATTTGCACCAAAGCAGGTGAAACTGATTCACAGTCACTTGTACTTCTGAAATGGACAGGTTGATATCCCAGAAGTTTAACTGACTTGGTGTTATAGTGTGACGATTAAGTGTTCCCTTTATATTTTTGAGCAGTCAATGGCAAAATGCCACATCCATGATGGCAGTGGCAGCCATGTTTGAGCACTTTTCTTCGGTCTTATCAGAACAAAATGAATTAAGTACCACTGTTTTTATCAGGTGCAATATCTTTTCACTTTAAATCTAGATGTAAAATGACCCTAGATGTAAAACGCAAGTGCAGATACACTAAAACACTGAAATTTCCACTAATTTAACCCCATAGATTGTTGATTTAATCTGTCTTTAGGGTATCAAACAGTGGTGTTCAGCTTTATTTACCGTCATCTCTACACATATATACAGGATTAAGCAGTTATCAAGACGAAGTCTAAATGTTCCTTGTTCCTTTGTTGTTAACCTCAGCTTTGGGAATCAGTCCAGGTTGTGGCTTGTCAGCTTGTAAAGTGACGTTGCATTGTCGCTGGGTTTTGACTGAGGGAACCTCGAAGGAAAATGATCATCTGGGTCCTGAAACAAATGCAAATGTACAAACAAATTACTTTTATTTCCAAAGCAATGCAGAACATGCTGTAACCAAGTTTGAAACTGTAACAATTTTAAAGCGTTTAAGTTGTCCCCAAATTAACAAACCCTTTCATAAACCTGTTTCCTCATCTCTGTGGCCTTTTAAAAGAGTGGAGGAGCTTGGCAATGACAAACAGCTGTCTGTCTTGAGTCTAGCAATTTTGAGTTTAGCACTTAACCCTTTCAACCAGTCTGCCCTTCAAAAGTGTCGGAGCAGCTTTGATGTCATCAGTGCTGTTTAAAGGGAGTAGATTCAGAACGGGTAGTGGGGGTATATGCAGGTATACCAGGTATAAAGACTTCTGACCTCAAAATAAGAATTGTTGTGTTTTTATGCCAGTGTCTGTTGTCTGTTCGTCCATCCCATTCTCGTGTATGCAATATCTCAAGAACAGTTTGAGGGAATTTCTTCAAATCTGGCACTAACGTCCACTTTGACTCAGTGATGAACTGATTAAATTTTGATGGTCAAAGGTCAAGGTCACTTTGACCTTGCATAGATCTCCTTCTCTTGAGCACAGTATCTCAAGAAGGACTTGAATTAGTTTCCTTCAAATTTGGCACAAACGTTCACTTGACTTGACTTGAGAATGAACTGATTAGAAGTTGGTGGTCAAAGGTCACTGTGACCTCACAAAACATGTTTTCCGCCATAACTCAAGAATTCAAGATAATTACAACAAAACTGAATGCTGCGTGGAGGCAAACAATCATGAGGCGGTAATTCTAATTGTTACCCCAGAATTAGCCATTTATATCTACAACAAGAGCAGGTCCTCTTCCACAGAATCCATTGTATTGTTTCTTCAGTAGCCCAGAACAGACAACCCAGACACTGGATCAAGCTCTACATCTTTATCTCTGTAAGGCTACATGCCGCCTCTTTTGACAGTACAAAGTGTCTCAGCACCACGGTCTGTTCTCTATATTAAGTAATAAATACAGAAAGAGTAGATATAGCTTGCAGTGCATGAGCAATATTGACTGAGTGTTATCTTTTGTCACCCACCCAGTAAAAGGGAAGCCATCATATGTTGACGGTGTAGGTGTAATGTGTTTACAGTTGTCACGTTAAAGTTAGATGGAAAGATGCTGTGTTTGCAGTGTTATCAAATTGATTATTACTGTTACTTACTGTTGATAGACCTGTGGTGCCACTTTAAGTTTGGGTCAGGCAAAACTGACACTGCACCAAAAATAAAAATGGATTAAAATCATCGTTTTTGCTTATCATTGACATGCCCCATACTGTGAAAAAGAGAAAAAAGAAAAATCCATTTAGTGTTTAGAATAGGGGGGAAAACTCAGTTTTTGTTTTCATAAAAAATAACAGTGGCTTTATCAAAACAAACTGTCATTTAAAGGGTTAAAATTCAAAAAAAAAAAAAAATGCACATTTGTTAATTATGTTTAAGAGTGAAGCTGGTCAAAAGATTTCATTTTAATGGCAGTTTTTCAATGGGGACATTTTTGTTTTCTGACACAAGAGGAATCTTTTTTTTCAAGGATACACAAGGGTTGAGTGTCTTGTGATATTCTTCTTATTCTATTAATTTTGGTGTCCTTAATTTAATTTTCAATATGCAAATTACATGTTTAGAACCTTAATGGAACCTTAATGGGTCTGTGGGCATTAAACAAACATACAAGACACAAAACTAAATAATTAGATTAAGCAAGTCACAATACGCACCCAATTAGACGTCTATTGCAATATTTAAACCACACTTTAAACAGTTAATAACTGGAGACTCATCTGCTTGGTGATTGTTGTGGAAAGTTTACTGCCAGGCTGGTGTGAGGTTAGTTGGAAACCGGCAGGTCCTCAGCCTATCAACAGGAGTCTCCGCCCACAGCAGCATCATCATCACCTAGGTGTAGAGAAAACATGTTGCCTGCACCCTGATGAGGATGATGAAGATGTGCAGGTCAATGTGCCTGTTGTTTACTGAATCTAACAGATGTCTTACTGAGCAGCCATCTAAAGTCAATTTACCATTGATAAAATCAATCAAAGCTCAATCAAAACTCAAGGGGTTATCAGGCACTCTGCTAACCATATCATGGGAACTGTTAGTGGGCCAGATGACCAGTTTGGTTTAATGTTTTCCATTAATAGATAACCTATAAGTGAAGAATGGAGCACTGATTACTTCTGTAATATGTAGTTAGGGCAGGCAGATTATATCATACAAGAATCTATTAGTTAAAGCTTATTTCTCATGTCATGACATCTTCAAAAATGACCACCCTAATGAATCTGTACAAGCACTTTACAGCCAGTGAAACTTCAATGAAAATCATTATAATAGCCACATTGAGAAATAGCACTTCACTTATTTGGACTTGATCAATTTCTATTGCGTAAATTAGGTTCTAAACTTCACTCAGTGTTGGAATATTACAATAATGCCATTATAATCACTGGATTGATCCAGGAGAGGAGGTCCTTAACATCTGTTCTTACAAACTAACACAATAACACCATAATTTACAAGTATGTTCTTAAAATTTTGAAACCATTTGATAGGAGGAAGCCCTTGATTTCTATAATAGCTGTAGAAAACAAAAAAAGCTTTGACAAAATCTCATTAAATGCTTATTTTACCAAAAAATCCTTGTGTGCAGCTTAACACTCTTAACACAGTTTATCTTTGCTGTGGAAATTCTCCCATCATGCTGGTCTAAATTCAAGACTGGTTCACTGGACTTATAACAGATGTGTTAAGAATAACACATTGTATGTTAATTTTTAACACACCTGCATGTCTAGTTAAGGTCAGCACATTTGTGCTGCTTTCAGCACAATCAGTGTGTTAGCACATTTAAGACATGCTTTGTGTTTAGAAGAAATATTATCATATTGTTGGAAAAATTAAACAGTGATTCCAGAGAGAAGCAGACAGATGTGTCTACAGTCTGTGTTTGAAGGATATATCCAGGATGTCAAACTGACACAGCAACAACAACAGGTTAAAAAGACAAAGATAGTTAGAAGCTAAAGCCGAACTACAGTAAAGGCTACAGATCACAGTGTAAAAGTGAACCACCACATCACTGCTGATCGCCACAGAAGACAATGAGTATAAAGGGAAACTTTGCTGATATTGAACCAGCTGTGTGGCATCGCAGTGTGTGCAGATGAACAGTATTTGAGTATCAACATGGTACCAATATGTGTCTCATTATTTCAAGTATATGATGTTTATATTGTGTAGTATTTAATATGTATATTTAAATATACTATGATGAATTTTCTGTTAACTAGCCAGCTAATGTGAGAGCATGAAAACGTGAGCTATGGTTGACTCTACTGGGTGAAAACTGAACTAGCCTACATCACATTAACTAGCTAGTTAAATGAAAATTCATTAGTCACAAGTCAACTTCATGGTGGTGCAAAAGGAATAGATGATCATAAATAAATCAATAACATTTATCCTCTAGAAACCATGAACATCTGGTCCAAAATTTGCTCCAATCTATAGATGTTGAGATATTTCAGTCTGAGACAAATGACAGGTGAAATAAAGTGTTGGGTATGTTTTTATTGTATAGTTTAAAACAGGGATTATGCCAACGATAAACTTGCTGGGAATATCCACCTGGGAACTTTGTGCTGCTCGGTGTCCCTAATCTGACGCGCCTGATGGGTTTGTTAAAGGAAGTTATCTGAAAAGCCGTCATTGGAAACTGTTACTTGGCAGGGGATCTCTCCAATTCTGATATAACTGATGCAACTTCAATATCTCCACTAACCTATTTGAGAAGGCACAACCCATGACTTGTCATTATAATAAATCAACAAAAACTCACAGTGTGTTTGTTTTTAATCTCTGTCAAGCACATCAGCCGAAAGAAAGCCCACAAAGCATAGTGTGTAATGTTTAAACTTCAGTGTTATTACACTAACACGATTACATTCGTTGGATCAGTTTTTGGAGAGGAGGTCCTCTCCTTCACAGAAGAAATCAGGCTAAACATCACTTCTTACATATTAAAACAATAACACCATAATTCACAATTACACTCGTAAAATTATTATATTGAGTGGAAGGCACCCTTGAGTTCTATGAAACGTGTAGAAAATGAAAAAAAAAAAAACATGACAACATCATATTTAATGCTTATCTCCCAAAACATCTGGCATGTACTCATGTATGTATTGAACATGACTACCCTTGGAAATATAAAAGACTGCCAAGAAAAAGCGAAACATAATAGGATTATTTATACATTTCCACTAACACAGTGTTGTGTTTTACACAGTGGTGTTACATAGCTGTAAAGCATATACTGTATGTACATATACATTCCACACAGCAAAATATGACAGGTGACACTAAAAGGTACAAAAATATTTAAAACATTTTAAGTTGCACTTACATATATAAACTCTTGTGCTTTCCCCATGTAAAGAAACCATTACCAAAACCTCTGGGTAACTTCGACCTCAGTGGGTCCCTTGCTAGCTAGCCTTTAGCTCCATTTCAAACCAGTGGATTGTCTAGTCAAAGCAATGGAATAACGATTGTTAATATAGATAAAGTGTCTGTTTAACCACAGCAGATGGTGGGGTGCTCAAGGTTTCCTGGGTGTTTTCCCATTTCATTGAAGAATTTACAGACCACCACCATAAAAGCCATTTTTTGGTGTTGTATTCCCACCAAACATTTGCACTCATCTCCTAAAGTCTGGGATTTGTGGACCTCTGTCCTATTGAGTGGGTTCTTGATAGTCCCCTTTAGAAAGACAAATACTATATTTCTTTTAGTGGAACTTATGGGGCAGTGAAACTGAACAAAAGACTATCTACAGTGAGACCATCTACACAAGACACTTGTGTAGATGGTCTCACTGTAGATAGAGACATGGTCTCACTGTAGATAGTCTTTTGTTCAGTAACTATGCGACATCTGATTCGGCAAGTTGCGTCCATCAATTTTTGTACCTTTCAAACTAATAATCAATACTTGACAAAAGTCACCAGGTTTCTTTCCAAATATATTGCAATTAATGTACCATCCATGACCGCTCTGTGAACATTAAGAGTTGACACTTGCACCTTGTCTCTACCAAGCTGTCTGGTTTAGTTCAATTTGTTTCACATCAGAATAGCTACTTTTGTGTTTCTATCGTCAAAAATTTTGTTGAGGGCACCAACAACATCCATTCTGTCCTGTTTTTTAATACCCCTCTGCTAAGGTACCTTGCACACTGGTCCAATGTCTAAAAGATGAATCTAGAAACACAGGAGTCTGTTAATTGTTTAGGAGAGAGTCGTCACTCTTGCCCAACAAGGACTCAATGCACAAAAATGTTCTTTTTAAATATCCCACTGATTGGGAAAGACTCTTCACACTCCAGCCTTTTTTATTTTGCTCTGAACTAACTACTCCCCTACATTTAAGAGTACTGTCAGCAGTGGAAATGCAGACAGTAAAACAGTTTGAAGGTTTGGGTATATGTCGGTATGGACTACATACGAGTTCAATGGGTACCATAACTGAAGTGTATTGTGGAAACGCTTCTGTTGTATAAGCTAGTTTGTTGGAAGCCTACTAAAACCTCAACAGTCACCACATCCATTTCATAACATATGACAAAGCACTTATTTACTCTATTAAAAAAACAAACAAACCAAAAGTTGGTTCCCCAGGTGCCCTCAAAGAGTGGCACTCTCAAAGGTGTGTATGTGTGTTTGAGAGGGAAGGAGAGAGTGACAAAGGGACGGGAAGCAAAGGTGGACGGTGGACTATCGCATGCAATGTTTCTGTAACTCAGAATGGTACTTTGTCACTTTCTGACTTGCCCACTTGTAGCTGTAATATTTTCTTGAAAGCACACACAAGGTCACACGTGGACCCTCACATCACATGACATACTCATCGGGGATCCAATCTGGTGAAGGATAAATGTGTCCCACTGCTTGGAACTAAACAAGCTTATATGGAGAAATAGATAAGGAGAAAGATATCGATAAAGCAAATTACTACCAGTCCTATGTTCAGGATGATTCTGGTTTGTGGAGGTTCATGGAGAAGCTCATCCACGATCCGCTCCTTTTCTTGAACTTTAAAGACCTGAGCTTCAATTGGCTTCTCCCGGAAGCCACATAAACACTCTAAAGTCTTCATACACCTCCCACTCTCCAGTCCTCCTCCTCCTCCAAGGTAGCCTTCCTTCTCATCATCCCTCACTCCTCTCCCTTCTCCCTCTTCTACCATTTTAACATCAGAAAACAAAGAGGTGCGAGTATTCTGGTTTGAAAGGCGTGGTTCTATGTCACTGGCTGTGACAGTATGACTGTCAACAACACTGAGCACATTTGGGAGGTCTTGACTGCTCTTTTTCTCACCAAGCACACTGTTTGCATTTAGACCTGTATGGTTCAGAGGCTTCAAAGCATTGTCAGCGTCTCCAGTTTTCTCTTTTTCATGCTGTTTTAGTTTCTTTCTCTTGTTTAACCCCCACAGAGTAGTGCTTCTGATTTGTTCTTTGCTGGGCGGAGGAGTGCAAAGACTCACAACTACAGTCACCAAAGCTGACACCCAAAACAAGATGGCAGCCACATACATGAAATGAACATCTTTGATGAAAGATGGCCGCTCGTCAGGCTGGTCACAGTGAGGCTCACGGTAGACTAATGCCAAAATCAGACGCAATATACCAAGGGAAGACCCTACTAACCCACCCCAGAAGGCACCCGTCTCATTGCAGCGATGCCACAGGACAGCAAGCAAGAAGAGAGCAGCTACAGGTGGAGTCAGGTAATCAATTACTTCTTGGATGTAATAGAACACCTGGCCTCCCTGCATCTCAATAATAACTGGCACCCAGGCAATGCTGATGATCACCATGAAAACCACAAACAACCTGCCGACTATCACCAACTCCCTGGATGACGCCTTCTTTCGTATCATCTTGTAAATATCCAATGTGAATATGGTGCTTGCTGAGTTGAAGATGGAGTCCAAGTCGCTCATTAGAGCTGCGATCATGACAGCCATCATTAGGCCGCGGAGACCAACAGGCATCACAGACATGACGAGACGTGGGTAAGCTACGTTGCTACAGCCAGTTGCAGAACCACACACTTCCATACAGTGCTCTGGGCTGATACAGGCCAACTCATCAGGAAAGAAGATCCTGGAAATCATCCCTGGAATCATAATGATAAGTAAATCAGTTATTTAGTGAGCCCATGGGTGGGATTGTTGGTGTGACTCAACTAAAAAGCAGCTGATGGTGCTACCTGGGATGACAATGATGAACGTGGGGAGGATTTTCAGAAAGCCAGCCATGAGAGTAGCACCCTTGGAGTGGGCTATGTTCTTCGCTGCCAGAACCCGCTGTACAATCACCTGATCTGCACACCAGTAGCTGGAACACAAAGGGGTGATGCTTATGGTGTGTTCAAACGAAAACGCAAAGCATATTTTACCTGTGGCACAATTACATACAAAATCAATGCATAAATGCAATTAGATGCAAATTATGTGTTGGGTGATGCAATTGCATGGGAGTCCACACCTATCAGCATTAAGCTCCTGATGTCATAGAGAATCAGAAATGGAGGACAAACTTATTTTCATCTTCTGTGGGCACCCTGGGCTCTACTACTCCATGTCAGTACTATACAGAATCACAACAAAAAAGGAGAGGGCTTGGAGAAAAGTAGGTGGAGCCACAGGACTACATAGAAAATACTGAAGCTATGTACTTGTTACTTGTGTAAGCTACTTTGTTAAGTTGCCTCTTAGCACATGCTCTGAGTACTTTAAGTTGGATTTCTATTCTGAAAGGTAAAAAAACCCAATAAAGCTGTAATACACTGCTGAAGACAATGTGAAAAACAATGGTGTTGCCGTCTTGGTTCACACAGGTTCAGAACACAGACACGTTGTAGTCTGAACCAGCTTAGATTCCAGGTATTGGTTTTACTTTACTACAAACCAAGTTAGCACTGACAATAGCGTTAGCTGCCTTTCCCTGTTAGTAATGCATTAGTTTGCACTAACGTTAGCACCGCTGTTGAGGGCAAACACTGGCGACTAAATTTTATGGCAATCTCCTCAATATATTTTCACAGGTTTGTACAAGCATCACACCAGTTTAAGCAGAAATGTCAAGTGTGTTAATCTTCACACACATAAAAAGCAATACATCTGAACCACCTAGGACATCTGCGTGGAAAGACATGGAAAACTACCACATAGAGGCAAAAGTCTGGCCCAGTAAGAAACCAGGCCAAGGCAGGTCTGGATCCCTTGGGCCATGAAGTATCTTCAGGGCATCTGGCTTCGGGTGGAGGTGGTGGTAGCAAGATTCAGAATATGTCAGGTTGGGTGAAGACAGCAAGATGGCAGTGATGTTTGGAGTAGCCTGCATGTACTTGGTCCTTACACCTTAAAATGACATGCCAGGACATGGTTTAGCATACATTATGCTAAATAAATAGTTTAATTGATTACATGGTACAAGTGGTTTAACTTTAATGTATAAATAAGATCAATACAGACCTTCAAGCCCTCCCACTTTAAAGAGGCTGATGCCTGTGAGGCACAGTGCTCCGGCGATCATGAGCAATGCCTGGACTGTATCCGTGTAGATGACAGCAACCAGACCTCCAGTGACTGTCAACACAGCTGTCATGGTGATGAGGATGATGATTGACAGATAGAGGTTCCACCCTAAGGATTCCTGAATGAACAAGGCCCCGGCATAGAGATCCACAGACAACTTTGTTAATATGTACATGATGAGTGATAATGCTGCAAATTACACTTTTAGTCTGTTTCCGCCGAACCGTTTGGACAGGTACTCCGGCATGGTGTAGACTCCAGATTGAATATACACAGGGATAAATATCCAGCCTAACAACTGGAGCAATATTAAAGCATTTAATTCCCATGCAGCCACACTTAACCCAGTAGCAGCACCTGATCCAGCCAGTCCAATGAAATGCTCGCTTCCTATGTTGCTGACGAATAGAGATGCTCCTACAGCCGCCCAATTCATAGAGCGACCAGCGAGAAAGTACCCGCTCACTGTGCTCTTATTAGCTTTCCACGTGGCAAACAAACCAATTGCTAGTACCAGGATAAAGTAGATTACTACAACAGTGATGTCTGCCACTTCCATGATGGCAGTGGCAGCCATGTTTGAGCACTTTGCTAGTTATGACCCCAGACATAAAATCCAAGTGTGGTTACACATGCAGCAATGGAATTTCCACTAATTTTAGTCCATAGATTCCTGTTTGATTCTCATATATACAGTATAAACCACTGATTGAGCTTATGTCCAAAAAATGTTTTCCTGTTCCAAATAACCTCAACCCTTGTAATCAAAGCAGGTTGTGACTTGGCAGCTTGCAAAATGGTGGTGCACTGTCACTGGGGGCCTCAAAAGAAAGTGGTCATCTGGGTCCTGCAACAAACACAAATGTAGAAACAATATTATTCTTATTCCCACAGCAAGACATGCTGTAACCAAGACTAAGACATGTAATTCTACAAAGTACATTTAGCCCTTACCTTGATGGTCACTGCTTAGTGAGTAGTCAAAGCATTTTCTATGCGAGGATGTCAATATGGTCATTAATCTTCACAACACTGGAGTCACCAAAAACATCATACAACTGTTGTCACAGCTGGGCAGTAGTCTTTTGGATGACCTTATCTCCAAGTCTGCTCATTTCTTTGACTTCAGTCAATTTATTTGTATATTATTATGCCACAATACAATTCCAGTGAAATGTAATCTCACCAGCTCCTTTTATTTGTGCCTCAACTAGAATTACCACTTTGCGGTTGTATATTATTAATTATTAAGTTGCACTTACAGTTCACATTCTGAGAAAATGTGGATGCGTCACACACATCTTCCCTTCCGAAGGACATTGGAGCTATACAATCAGCACATTTTCAAGGTTTCACACACTTCAAATGTGGATGTTGCTGCAACAAAGCTACAAATTCTAAAACATGGATGCTCCACTCACATCTGCAACCCGGCGGCAGAGAAGCTCTATACAATCAACACAGTTTGAAGGTGGACACCCAAGTTTAGTGTCACCAATTCAGTATGATTCAGTAGGCCAGAAGAGTTTTTGCAGAACGTTATGATGTCACAGTGAAGTTGACCTCTGACTTTTTGGATATAAAAGTCATCACTTCAATTGGCATGATTGGCGTATGAATTCTTGACTTATCGCCAAAAACATGTTTTGTGAGGTCACAGTGACCTTTGATTACTTCATTGCTGAGCCCAAGTGGACAACTGTGCCAAAATTAAGGAAATTCCCTCAAGACATTTTTGATATATTGCGTACAAGAGAATGGGACAAATGAAAGGTAACAGTGACATTTCAGTTTGACCACCAAAATGTAATCACTTAATTTTTGAGTTCAAGTGGATGTTTGTGCCAAATTTGAAGAATTTCCCCCAAGATGTTCTTGAGATACCATATTCATGACAATGAGACAGACCAGGTCACAGTGACCTTTTATCCTATTAGCCAGCCGATTGAATTTGTCAAAATTAGAGTATGAATTCTTGCATTATGGATAAAAAAATGTTTTGTGAGGTCACAGTGACCTTGATCTTCGAAGTTCAACCACCAAATTCTAATCACATTGTTAAGTCCAAGTGGACATTTGTGTCATATTTGAGTTCATTCCTGCAAGGCCTTCTTGAGATATCACATTCACAAGATGAGACAGATGTAAGGACACAGTAACCTTGACCTTTGAACTATGAACCCCAAAATCTAATCAGATCATTCTTGAGTCCAAGTGGACATTTGTGCCAAATTTGAAGAAATTCCCTCATGGTATTTTTAAGATATCATGTTCACGAGAATGGGAAAACATAAAGCCAGTGGTCACTACTGTAGATGGTGCCCAACTTGCATACATTTTCCTTGATGTTTACTCGCTTTACATTTGAAAACCTCAACTGGCCAGGTCGCTGAGTCAGGAGGATGAGAGTGGTGAAGGTATTTTTTTTTAATTTATTAATGCAACCCCTGGTCATATCGAGACCTCTGCAAGCTGTGTAAACACAGGAAACATGTTTCTTTTCTTTTCTTTTCTCTCTTGTCTTTGCGATGCATCTGCACAGCACAGCCTTTTATAAAGACCATTGTTTCCTCATCTCTGTGGCCTTTTTAGAGGGTGGAGGAGCTTGGCAGTGACAAAAAGCTGTCAGTAGTCAGCACTTAACTCTTTCTGCCAGATTTTCTTTTAAGAGTGACAGAGCAGCTTTGATGTCACCAGGAACAATGCTGTTAAATTGGAATTGATCAAATAAGAAGCCCATGGCTCAGTGCATTCAGACTCACCCCAGTTTGCCTCAATTCACAAGTCTGCATAAACAAATTACAAGTGAAGTTGCAAACCTCTTAAAGTCTCTGCATTCTGAAATGCAGCATTGAAAGATGTGGGTGTTTAGCCACCAGGGAGGGTATCAAGTTGCATTCTGGGGAAGTGGCCAATACTAGATACTAAAAGTTAGGATATCTCGGGCTCTGCTGCTTCAGTTTGACATCATAATGGAAGCATCATTACCAATGAGCACGTCTGCAAGTTGGTTCCTCCACGAACCATTCAAGTTTCAATTACAATTTACATCCATGTCTGTCCAGACTCATGTGTAGCCATGACATGAGGTTTACAATGCTTCAAATGTGGATGTTGCTGCAAAGAAGCTACAAATTCTAAAACATGGATGCTTCACACACATGATCAACCTGGCAGCACAGAAGATCTATACAATCAGCACAGTTTCAAGGCGGACACCCAAGAATAGTGCCACCAATTCAGTATCTGACCAAATGTCTCCATTAGTTTGAGTAATGGCCAGAAAAGTGTTTTTGCAGAACATTATGATGTCACAGTGAAGTTGACCTTCAACACTGAGTGATGGTCAATGGATATGGATATAAAATGTCCTTACTTCATCATGTTATTGTATTAGACATTTGCATGAAACTTTGTCATAATTAGCGTATGAATTTCTGAGTTATCACCAAAAACATGTTTTATGAGGTCACAGTGACCTTTGACCATCAAATTCTAATCAGTTCATTGCTGAGCCCAAATGGACGTTTGTGCCATATTTGAGGAAATTCCCTCGAGACCCACTTAAGATACTGCATTCAAGAGAATGAGACAAATGAAAGGTAACAGTAACCTTGACTTTTGACCACCAAATTCTAATCACTTAATTTTTGAGTCCGTGTGGATGTTTGAGCCAAATTTAGGGAATTCCCCCCAAGGTGTTATTGAGATATCGCATTCACAACAATGAGACAGACCAGGTCACAATTACCTTGACCTTTGATCTCTGACCACCAAAATCAAATCAGTTTGTCCTTGAGTCAAATTGTATGTTTGTGCCAAACTTGAAGACATTTACTCAAGGTGTTCTTGAGACTTAACGTTCACAAGAATGGGACGTACGGACATGTGGACAACCCGAAAACATAATGCCTCTGGCCACAGCGATCGCCAAATGTCTTGTTTTGTCCAACCCAAAAGTATTCATTCATTCATTTTCCGTAACCTCCTACCCTGTTGGGGGTCGCGGGAGGGCTGGAGCCTATCCCAGCTGACATTGGGAGAGAGGCGGGGTACACCATGGACAAGTTGCCAGACTATCACAGGGCTGACACATAGAGACATTCATTCACGCTCACATTCACACCTACAGCCAAGAGTCCCCAATTAACCTGCATGTCTGTGGGAGTTTTATTAACCCTTTGAAACCTGAGCAAATTGGCTTGGGTTATTTCAAAAACATGACAAGGAGGAAATGAGCAATGAAAAAAAAGAAATGACCCACAACTATTGGCAAGAAGTTAGTAAAAAGATTAAATTAAAAACAAGAAGATTAGTTAAAAACAAACAAGGAAATGACCTGGAAGAATAGCTTAAATATTATAATAATTATGTAAAATAATTTTAAATATGTAATAATCATCATTATAGTTTTTCCTTGGCTTTCCCCCCACTATCTTTTTAAAAATAATTTTCTAAATTTATTTATTTTATTGCAATTTGTGTAACATTTTTGCCAAGTTGCTCATTACCTTTTCCCCTTGTTTTTGAAAGAAATTGCACCAGTTTGCTCAGAGTTCAATGGTTTGAAAGCAGCACAAGAAAAATTATGTCCCTCCAGGTTTCAGAAGGTTAATGTAGAAAACTAAGAATATGCTGTAGTAGACCAAGCTTGTAACATAACTCATCAAAGCTTTGACTCGACATCATAAAGAACTATATGAGGATCTTGCATCGATACTGGAGTTTGTTTTTGTTGCTCAACAGCATGTGCTTGTCCATGCAGGACAGCTGGGGCTGGTGTGAATGTGCAGAAGCACAAAAATCAAAATCTCTCCACACAGCCTCATTCACTTTAATTTAGCTCTGTGCAGGCAGCGTGATAATGTTTCACGAGTGTACACAGTTGGGAACAATAGCATCAGTGATATTTTCTCACCAGAGTACATTGAACTGCTGTATTTCCATGTGCAGGGTTAACTCCTGATGCTACTTGCAACAGAGTGAGTACTAACTTAAGATAATTAGTACAAGAAGGAAAATGGTGGGTAAACAGAGGTTTTGACATTTCCAGCTTCAAGACATCTGCATTTATTCCCTCCTCTTGGTTTTATCGGGGGACTTCTGCCAAACAAGTTTTGGACCTGCAGGGAGGTTTCGTAACACTTTGTTCGGGAGACATTTTTTACAAGTCCTCTATTTTTTTTCTGTCTCACTGAAGAAAGGGACTCAAAAGTGCAACCCTCTCTAGACCACACTGTTTCAGTTTGTGGAATTTGAATGTCTATATTTACCTGAATGGCATTTTGCCCCTTTTTATCCTCTGAATGACCCTCAAAAGTACTAAATGTCCTGCGCCCACAGGTGTTTCCAGTTATTCTGGCTAATTCGACCTCTGCTCAGGTTAAAGTTTGGTGGAGTTATATTGGGACTGCACAATGTCATTTCAGGGATCAATAAAATGATACAGCCAATAAAAACATCTGACAGGGGATCTGACAAGGCATAAAAAACACACATGGGAATGGACCATGGGGTGTTTAAGTCAAAAATAAACCCTTACTGGAGTTGCTGCTGGTTAACACAAGATAACAAAACTTCCTTTTCACTTAAAAAGTAAATCATGGTGTCTGTGATCGCGTGCATGAATATACCTATGATATTCTACTGGAGAGACTATAGCAGCAATGTATATGATACTTTAATTATAACCCTGTAATATAGACGGTGAGCTATCTACTATTCTTATACTACAGAGAGACTTTTTGTGGTGCATTGTGACATTCATGTAGTTTTTATACAAAATATGGCTGAAGCAAAACATGCTCACATATGCTTGCTGTGCTTTATACTGTTTTAATCTCTATGATTTATCTCATTTACTGCAACAGTGAAAATAGATTTACAGTGGAACTGCAAGTGAAAATAGATATAATCGTTTCTTGTGATATTCTCATATAGTTATGAAGTAAGTTGTGTAGCTTTATAATGTTAATTATCCATCATGCAGCCTGGTTGGCTTTGCATTTTTCCCTGAGGGACTGTCTTGCACATTGCAGTCAACAGTTTTCTATTGAATCTGCCTCTTATAATATTCATGGAATATTTCTTTATTTTTTTCTTGGATCAGTGACCTAAATTTTCTAGTCTGCATTACAATAATATTCAGCAAACATTTTTATAATGTGTCTGTGGGATTAGCGGTGACATGATTTACTCAAACACACGAGACACAGCTCTTATTAGTTATACACAGGAGGTCACAGAAGCGTTTGACTGTGCATCGCGATATTTCAGCCGCACTTTAAAATGAAAATAAGATGAGACTCACCTGCTGACTCTCCTCCGTGTCGTCTCTCAATTTGCCTTTGCAGTGTAAAGATTTTTTGTCAGGCTCATCTGAGTCTCAGGCTGGCTGGAGAACAGCAGAGTCCCCAGGCTATTAAGAGAAACAGGAGGCTCCGCCCACAGCAGCATCATTATCACCTGCAGGGTGGAGGGACAGCACCCTGGACACTCAATAAAAATTGTCGGGGTTTCCACGGCAGAAAAATGACAAGGCATCACTTGGTAATCACCAGTGTTGGAAAGGTTACCTTTGACATGTAATAGGATACAGATTATTTGTAATGAGTTATGTAACTATTTTAATTACTTCATTTAATTAATGTAGTTTAGGCCCTGTTACATTTGATTTCCTTTAGATAACTTTTCTAACTAATGTTTTAAACTGGGCAATAAAGCTGAGAAGTCCCTAAACACATGACTGCACATATGTTGCACTCAAATTTGTAATTTCTAATGGCTTTACTGAATGCTTTGTCCAATAATATGCCAAAAGAAGACATTCTGGCACAGAAAAAAAGATGCAGAGCAACAGAATGAATGTTTTATCCTACATATAAACTTTTTACCAAAAATAATATATCCATATGTAACCCCTTTGTAACTACCATTTGATTAGTAACTGTAATTTAATTATTTTTTCTCGGTAACTGTAACTAATTACATTTAATTTAAATATGTAACTCTGTCACATGTAACTTGTTAATCCCCAACCCTGGTTGCCATCAGGTACCCTTCATGTAGCGTGAAGTCAGATAATTTGGAACAGTTTTTGGTAGATTACCAAGGAAACTATGTAAAACTCTGAAGACTACTTTAGCTGTGCCTCAATTCAGGGGCTGCATTTGAAGACCTGTTGCGCCACATCAGTGCGACCAAGGCTGTCCCATTTCGAAGGCTCCTTCAAATGTGGCCGAGAAATGCAGCCATCTTTCCAAGAATTTGGAGGATGCAACGGATGAATCCTTTGTGGGCCAGCCTCTCCCAAAATGCATTGTGCGCTGGGGACGATTATACAGTACAGGCCAAAAGTTTGGACACACCTTCTCATTCAATGCGTTTTCTTTATTTTCATGACTATTTACATTGTAGATTCTCACTGAAGGCATCAAAACTATGAATGAACACATGTGGAGTTATGTACTTAACAAAAAAAGGTGAAATAACTGAAAACATGTTTTATATTCTAGTTTCTTCAAAATAGCCACCCTTTGCTCTGATTACTGCTTTGCACACTCTTGGCATTCTCTCCATGAGCTTCAAGAGGTAGTCACCTGAAATGGTTTTCCAACAGTCTTGAAGGAGTTCCCAGAGGTGTTTAGCACTTGTTGGCCCCTTTGCCTTCACTCTGCGGTCCAGCTCACCCCAAACCATCTCGATTGGGTTCAGGTCCGGTGACTGTGGAGGCCAGGTCATCTGCCACAGCACTCCATCACTCTCCTTCTTGGTCAAATAGCCCTTACACAGCCTGGAGGTGTGTTTGGGGTCATTGTCCTGTTGAAAAATAAATGATCGTCCAACTAAACGCAAAGCGGATGGGATGGCATGTCGCTGCAGGATGCTGTGGTAGCCATGCTGGTTCAGTGTGCCTTCAATTTTGAATAAATCCCCAACAGTGTCACCAGCAAAACACCCCCACACCATCACACCTCCTCCTCCATGCTTCACAGTGGGAACCAGGCATGTGGAATCCATCCGTTCACCTTTTCTGCATCTCACAAAGACACGGTGGTTGGAACCAAAGATCTCAAATTTGGACTCATCAGACCAAAGCACAGATTTCCACTGGTCTAATGTCCATTCCTGGTGTTTCTTGGCCCAAACAAATCTCTTCTGCTTGTTGCCTCTCCTTAGCAGTGGTTTCCTAGCAGCTATTTGACCATGAAGGCCTGATTCGCGCAGTCTCCTCTTCAGACCCATCTCTAGAACAGTTGTTCTAGAGATGGGTCTGCTGCTAGAACTCTGTGTGGCATTCATCTGGTCTCTGATCTGAGCTTCTGTTAACTTGCGATTTCTGAGGCTGGTGACTCGGATGAACTTATCCTCAGAAGCGGAGGTGACTCTTGGTCTTCCTTTCCTGGGTCGGTCCTCATGTGTGCCAGTTTCGTTGTAGCGCTTGATGGTTTTTGCGACTCCACTTGGGGACACATTTAAAGTTTTTGCAATTTTCCAGACTGACTGACCTTCATTTCTTAAAGTAATGATGGCCACTCGTTTTTCTTTAGTTAGCTGATTGGTTCTTGCCATAATATGAATTTTAACAGTTGTCCAATAGGGCTGTCGGCTGTGTATTAACCTGACTTCTGCACAACACAACTGATGGTCCCAACCCCATTGATAAAGCAAGAAATTCCACTAATTAACCCTGATAAGGCACACCTGTGAAGTGGAAACCATTTCAGGTGACTACCTCTTGAAGCTCATGGAGAGAATGCCAAGAGTGTGCAAAGCAGTAATCAGAGCAAAGGGTGGCTATTTTGAAGAAACTAGAATATAAAACATGTTTTCAGTTATTTCACCTTTTTTTGTTAAGTACATAACTCCACATGTGTTCATTCATAGTTTTGATGCCTTCAGTGAGAATCTACAATGTAAATAGTCATGAAAATAAAGAAAACGCATTGAATGAGAAGGTGTGTCCAAACTTTTGGCCTGTACTGTATATTAAGTGAAGTTAACTAACAGTTGTTAACTAGCAAACGGTTGACTGTTGTTAACATTACTGTTAGCTAAAAGCACACAGCTTAAACAATCTTAATTTGATAAGTTTACCCGAAAACTGTCCGCCATCAAAGTGAAATATATCAAATGATGAATTCTCCAGCGGCGAATCATCTCCTCAAGTATTAAATAAAAACAAATATATATATAATAATCTCTGTGTCCATGATTTAGGGCTAACTAACTAACTAGCTTACTCCTTTCATCGAGCACAACTGGTTGCTAGGTAACAGGAACACCAATGGGTCCGGGCAAGAGCAACTGGTGATGCAACCAGGAAATCCTCCTGTTTAAGATTGTCTTATTAATCAACATATTGGCCAAATGTTCATAGTAAGCAGATCTGCAGACTATTAATTGCTATCAAAATGTCTGCAAAATAATCACGAAATGTTGAGGGTTATCACCAAAAGTTATTTCTTGACCTTAGAATTAGTAGTTTGGCCCCCCAAAAAGAAAAAATCTTGCTCATAAACCATCATATCAATATCACTGTCTTAGTTAAGTGTGATAGCGTACCAACATTTGCTAATTAGCACTAAACTCGAGTCATATGACTTGGACTCAAGTCACAAATGTGATGATTTTAGACTGGACTTAACAAAATCAAAGAAGACTTTTTAGTCGCCTTGGATTTCAACACCAGTGACACGTGACTTCACTTGGACTTCATTTGAGCCAAATTTTTGTAAAATTCCCTCAAGGCCTTATTGAGAAATTGTGTTAATAAGAATGAGACAGATGCAAGATCACAGCGACATTTACCTTTGATCACCAAAATCTAATTAGTTCATCATTAAGTACATGTGAACGTTTGTGCCAAATATGAAGAAATTTCCTTGAGGCGTTCATATTGCGTTTACAAGAATGGGACTGACGTACGGATGTATAAACGAACAGATGGGTGGGTGTTTTTTTTGTATATTCGATGGCAGAGATTGTGTCAATGATAAGCTTGTTTGGAATCTGTCTTCCTGGGACCTTTGTGCCACTGGATGCCCCACTTACAAAAAAATAAACCAGCAGTCATAATACATCAACAAAAATTCACAGTTTATTGATTTAATTCTCTGCCAAGCATGTCAGTCCGGAGAAAGCCCACAAGTCATAGTGTGTAGTTTGTGAACAGTTAACATGTAACAACCTTCATGTACTGATCCTGGTGGAGGCCTTTAAATAGACCAGAATGACCAGTTTGGTTAGGTGTTTTACAACCTACAAGTGAAGAATGGTGTCAAGTGCAGCAGCGATTACTTCTGTGATATGTAGCATATCTCTAATGTCACGACATCCTCAAAAATGAGTCCCACAATAAACTTGTACGAGCATTTTACAGCCAGTAAAACTTTAATGGAAACTCACACAATAGCCACATTAAGAGACACCACTCAAGTTATTTGGACTCAATTTCTATTGCAAAGATTAGGTTTTAAACATCATTCAGTGGTAAATAATTACAATATTGCAATTATATTCACCAAATTGATTCAGGAGAGGTGGTCCTCTCCTTCACATCTGAAATCAGGCTTAACATCAGTTCTTACAAATAAACACAATAACACCATCATTGACAACTACGTTCATAAAACGTTTTAACCATTTCAGTGGAGGAAGCCCTTGAGTTCTATAACAGGTGCAGAAAAGTAAAAAGACAAGATCTCATTAAATGCTTATTTTCCCAACATATCCCTTTAGACAGCTTTAAAAATATTGGTTACTTTTCAACACTTTGAGGACTAGCACATACAGTATCATGTTCATGTGTTATAATAACAATCCAATGTATTAAAAATGACTGCCAAGTAACAGTACATTCTCCTGAAAAACCCCAAAGTGTTATACAGACACAGTGTTGTTTTGCACAGTGGTGTTATATAGGTGTAAGGCACCTAGTTTATGTGTACATACCACAGCAAAAGGAGATTCAACAGATGACGTACAAAAAATAGAAAAGTTGCACTTGGCAATATTGCTTTATAAACTCTTGTGCATTCCCCACTAATCGATACTATGTGAAGAAACCAACACCAAAGCCCCTGAGTAACTTCTACCTGAATGGATCCCTTACTAGTCAGCCTTGAGCTGCATTTCTAACAAGTGGATTGTCTAGTCAAAGCAATGGAATGATGATTGTTAATGTTGATGAAGTGCATGTTTAGTCACAGCAGATGGTAGATGGTGGGGTGCTGAAGTATTCCCAGGAGTTTTCCAAATTCATGGATGAATGTAAATAACTACCATCACCATGACGCCTATTTTTGGTGCCGTACTGCCACCAAACATCGGCACTCATCTCCTGAAGTCAGGAGTTTGTGGACCTCTGTACTGTTGAGAGGGTTCCAGATCGTCCCGTTTAGAATGAGGAAGACTTAATTTCAGTCAGTGGTATGGACCTTTCCAGTCGCCTCTACGTCAGCTCCGCTAAATTTATGCAATTTTATGCTCTTACATGTATTTTACAAATATTGTTTGTGCTTTTTGTGATCTGGATTGAACAGTGATGACGTATGGTTACAGGATGGGGAAGTCAACTCACTACGGTCCTCCTGTCGACTCTGCTACCTGACTGAGGTTTTACCATGTAAACATCAGAGTAAACACAGAGGAAAGAGGTGGAGAAGATGGGCAAAAGCTACAATTATGACCACACAAACAAGTATGACCATCTCTATATCCATATCTACATATCCACATAAACACCGCCTGGGGTCGCAGCCTTAGACATCTTCTCTGCCTAACATCCTGCTAACCAATATACAGGCATTGGATAAGAAACTGGATAACCTCCAGGCCTACATCCGTTTCTGACAGGATATCAGGAACTGCAATGTCCTTTGTTTCACCAAAACTTGGCTAAATCCTGTAACACCAGACAGCGCCATTCAATCGGGTGACTCTTTTTCCAATATCTGATCCGGGAGAACAGAGCACTCTGGCATTAAAAAAAAAGGAGGAGGCATGTGCTTTCTGATGAATAAGGATTAGTGTGACAATAGGAATATTGAAATGCTGTCCCTTTCCTGCTCACCTTGTGCCACATCTTCCCCCCCGGCAGCACAGAAGATCTATACTATTTGCACAGTTCCACATTGGACACCCGAGATTAGTGTCACCAATTAAGTATGCGTCCAAACGCCGCCCCTTCTGTTCCTGAGTTATGACATTAAGTAATGGCCAGGCAAGTGTCTTTGCAGAACATGATGATGCCACAGTGAAGTTGACCTTTGTCCTTTTGGATATATCATTTCATAATTTTATCCTATAAGACATTTGTGTGAAATTTTGTCATAATTGGCTTATGAATTACTGAGTCATGGCCAAAATCATGTTTTGTGAGGTCACAGTTATCTTGACCTTTGACCTGGGACCACCAAATTCTAATCTCAAGCGGACATTTTTGCCAAATTTGAGGAAATTCCCACAAGGCTATCTTGAGATATACTGTTCAGAAATGAGACAGACGTAAGGTCACAGTAATCTTAACCTTCGACTACCACATTCTAATCAGCTCACCCTTGACTCCAAGCAAACGTTTGTTCCAAATTTGGAAAAATTACCCGAAGATTTCCTTGAGATATCACGTTCCTGAGAATGAGACAGCTGAGGTCACAGTAACCTAGACTTTTGACCATATGAAACTAATCATTTCATACTTGTCCCAAATTTGAAGAAATTGGCTTTTTTGAGATATTGCATTCGTGAGAAAAGGACGCATGCACAACCTAAAAGACATATTGCCTCCGGCCATGACAATTAACAGAGCAGAGCCATAAAAACACTCTGAATCACTGCTACATACCTTTCAGAGGTGTCTACAAAGTGGAATTGCTGCCAGTATCTGGTAAGAATGACAATGCCCTCTTGCTGAGGTCAAAATATGTAAACAACCTACAAAGCAAGGCCATAGTGGCGCAAAAGGTCCAGAAATTGTCAAGCCAGTTTGAGGCCACCCTACAGTCTGCATAACATGATGCAGTCTGGTGCATATTCCATGACAACAATGTTAACGTCACCAATGTATCAGTGAATTCATTGAGTCTGTGGTGGATTTCATTTGAAATACAACAAAAGCAACCTGTACCCTAAACAGTTAGATAATTTTACCACCAGAAACCATGGATTACCATAACCATCTGGTATGTTGCAACACACACACACACACACACACACACACACTGCAGCCTACGATTTATGGCTACAGTCTGGAAACATGGAAAATTATTAAGCAGCAGCATACAATGTAAGAACACCAGTAAAGGAGGCAAAAAGGGACTTGCAATGCACAAGTTAAAGGAGCTGACAGGGATTACATTTCATGGGATCTGTACCTTGTATGATGTCATGTGACAAATAAATTGATTGGTTGATTGATTGATTGATTATGACACAGTGAAACTAATAAAAAGACTATCTACAGCAATAAAAGACTATCTTCAAAACAAGTGTCTCCTAAAAGGAGTGAGAATGCTTCAAAGTGGTTTTCTGATGTGAATTGAGGCGGCTGCCTCCATTAATTTTAGTAACTTTCAAACTGATATTCCATGCTTGATGGCTTGTCATTTCATAAAGTTGTCAGGTTTCTTTCCAAAGAAAAAGGTTTTATCCACTATCATTGTGCAAATATCAAGAGTTGACGAGCTAGTTTGTTTGAAGCATACTGAACCCTTGACACCTACCGCCTTATATACAGTGTAAAAAATAAATTTCATAAAATACAACAAAAAACTATTTAAAAAAAACAACCAAAACCTCTTTTCAAGAGTTGGTTTCGCAGCCTAATTCTAAGCATATTTCAAATCTGCTTGGGGTTCTACATCCAATTTTGCAGGTAAAAGAAACGGAAAAATGATGAACTGTGTATCCAGATCTGGAAGAAAGTAGGGTCAAAAGTATTGTAGCTGTGTATGGCCATATCTGAATATGTGAAAGTATTTACTATATATATATTCCATCAATTGTGTGAATGTGTAAATCATTTTGATCAAACTAATTCAAATGTTTGAATATGTAAAAAAAAAAAAAAAAAAAAAAAAAAACTGAAAAAAATACAGATTTAATTTTTGAATTCATGTCCCGCGTTTCATACTTTCTGAATAGCCAGTAGGGATGCTCAGATTAACATATTCAAGATACAATGCGGAGATCTGGTGTTGATGTATGATTAGTTTTCAAGCTACTGTAGCTGTCATTTGGTTGCTGCCACAGACTTGCAGCAAAGTAGGCCCATCCCCCTGGTTCCTTGATTGGACAGTGAAATGATATGTTAATCTAAGCATCCTCATTAACTATTCAGAAGGAAGCCTGAGACGCGGGACAAAAAAAATGTTCTTGAAGGTTTGATTTGTACTCGTATGGTCATACACTGCTACAATACTTTCAACCCTATTAAAAGAGGCCATTTGCACATAATTTGCAATTTGACAATGAACAAAATGTTCTTAGGAACATTTTTCCTGTTCATCATGCTCTTCTTTAAGCAACCCTTCAGAGAAAAACTCAAGGATAGCTTATCTGCAGAACACCCCTGCTTGTAGTTTATGGTCAAAAGTGTCCAACAGTTTGGAATTAAACAAGCCTATAAGGAGAAATAGATAAAGAGGAAGATCCCAACAGAGCAAATCATCACCAGTCCTGTGTTCAGGATGATTCTGGCTTGTGGAGGTTCATGTAAAAGCTTATCCACAATCTTCTCCTGTTCCTGCACTTTAATGACCTGAGCTTCAAGTGGTTTCTCTTGGAAGCCACAGAACCACTTTAAAGCCTTCATACACCTCCCACCCTCCACTCCTTCTCCAAGGCAGCCTTCCTCCTCTGCATCCCTAACTCCTCTCCCTTCTCCCTCTTCTACCATTTTAGGATCAAAAATTGGTGAGGTGCAACCATTGTGGATTGGAAGTTGTGTTTCTAGGTCACTGGCTGTGACAGCATTACCATTGCTTGGTTTAGCATTTTCATGATTGGCCTCAACCCCATTGATTTTGTTTGGGAGGTCTTGATACTTTTTTTCACAAAGCAAACTGTTTCCATTTAGGATTGCATGGTTCAGAGGCTTCAAAGCATTGTCAGCATCTCCAGTTTTCTCTTTTTCTTGTTGTTTTAGTTTCTTTCTCTTGTTTAACCCCCACAGAGTAGTGCTTCTGATTTGTTCTTTTCTGGGTGGAGGAGTGCAAAGACTCACAACTGCAGTCACCAAAGCTGACACCCAAAACAAGATGGCAGCCACATACATGAAATGAACATCTTTGATGAAAGATGGCCGCTCGTCAGGCTGGTCGCAGTGAGGCTCACGGTAGACTAATGCCAAAATCAGACGCAACGCACCAAGGGTAAACCCTACTAACCCGCCCCAAAAGGCACCCGTCTCATTGCAGCGATGCCACAGGACTCCAAGCAAGAAGAGAGCAGCTACAGGTGGAGTCAGGTAATCTGTAACTTCTTGGATGTAATAGAACATCTGGCCTCCCTGCATCTCAATAATAACTGGCACCCAGGCAATGCTGATGATCACCATGAAAACCACAAACAACCTGCCGACTATCACCAACTCCCTGGATGACGCCTTCTTTCGTATCATCTTGTAAATATCCAATGTGAATATGGTGCTTGCTGAGTTGAAGATGGAGTCCAAGTCGCTCATTAGAGCTGCGATCATGACAGCCATCATTAGGCCGCGGAGACCAACGGGCATCACAGACATGACGAGCCGTGGGTAAGCTACGTTGCTACAGCCAGTTGCAGAACCACACACTTCCATTCAGTGCTCTGGGCTGATACAGGCCAACTCATCAGGAAAGAAGATCCTGGAAATCATCCCTGGAATCATAATGATAAGTAAATCAGTTATTTAGTGAGTCAGGACTTTAGGTGTCAGTTACTTAAAAAGCAATTAATGGTTTTACCTGGTATGACAATAATGAACATGGGAAGTATTTTCAGAAAGCCAGCCATGAGAGTAGAACCTTTGGCATGGGCAATGTTCTTTGCTGCCAGAACACGTTGCACAATTACTTGATCAGCACACCAGTACCTGGAACACAAAGGGAAAAATGCATAGACTTAACATTAAGTTCTCTTTAAAGTATCAAGTAGCATTATAGCAAGGACACTGGTTCACCTCCCATTACCTGAGCTGTCTGTACTGACTCCAAAGGCTAGTATTGTGGGTAGGGATCAGGCATAGTGCTAGGCGGTCCCGCACTTTGGTCCAAACTGAAATATCTCAACAAGTATTGGATGGATCGCCATAAACTTTAATTATAACGTATGGAGCCTTTCTGGAAAGCATGGATGTGTTCATAAAAATTCATGGCAATCTGATAAATCTATTTTTACTGCTGTTCTGTGCAGGCTGTTCTGTGAAAGGCCAAGTGGGTTAAGATTAATCTTCTTGGGGCATACACACATAAAAGAACTACATGGAATTGAACCAGTTAGGAAGTGAAACTACGTGAAAAGAACTGGACAGTTACCAAATAGAAGCAGGAGTCTGGCCCAGTAAGAAACCAGGCCAAGGCAGGTCTGGATCCCTCGTGCCTCGAAGTATCTTCAGGGCATCTGGCTTCGGGTGGAGGTGGTGGTAGCAAGATTCAGAATATGTCAGGTTGGGTGAAGAAAGCATGATGGCAGTGATGTTCGGAGTAGCCTGCATGTACTTGGTCCTTACACCTTAAAATGACATGCCAGGACATGGTTTAGCATACATTATACTGAATAGTTTAATTGATTACATGGTACAAGTGATTTAACTTTAATGTATAAATCAGATCAATACAGACCTTCAAGTCCTCCCACTTTAAAGAGGCTGATGCCTGTGAGGCACAGTGCTCCGGCGATCATGAGCAATGCCTGGACTGTATCCGTGTAGATGACAGCAACCAGACCTCCAGTGACTGTCAACACAGCTGTCATGGTGATGAGGATGATGATTGACAGATAGAGGTTCCACCCTAAGGATTCCTGAATGAACAAGGCCCCGGCATAGAGATCCACAGACAACTTGGTAAAGATGTACAGGACGAGTGATAACGCTGCAAAGTACACTTTTAGTCTGTTCCCGCCGAACCGTTTGGACAGGTACTCCGGCATGGTGTAGACTCCAGACTGAATATACACAGGGATAAATATCCAGCCTAACAACTGGAGCAATAGTAAAGCATTTAATTCCCATGCAGCCACACTTAACCCAGTTGCAGCACCTGATCCAGCCAGTCCAATGAAATGCTCGCTTCCTATGTTGCTGACGAATAGAGATGCTCCTATAGCCGCCCAATTCATGGAGCGACCAGCAAGGAAGTACCCGCTCACTGTGCTCTTGTTAGCTTTCCACATGGCAAAGAAACCAATAGCTAGCACCAGGATGAAGTAGATTACTACAACAGTGATGTCTGCCGCTTCCATGATGCTAGCAGCGGCCATGTTTGAGCAGTTTTGTAGCTCTTAAACAGAACTAAACTAAAGCTGTGTGTTTTGTCCAGAAAATCACTGAAATTTGCACAAATTTAAGTCCAAAGATGCCTAATTTACCTGTTTATTAGGGTGTCAAACAGTGGTATTCAACTGAGCAACAAAATCATCATTTGCAGTCATCTGCACATTATCATATAGTGTAGTATAAAGCAGTTATCAAGCCAAAGCCTGAAATTAATGGTCCTTGTTCCGTTGGAGTATCTCTTAGCTTTGGCAATGAATCCAAGTTGTGGCTTGGCAGCTTGTAAAATGAATCCTGCAACAAAAGCAAATGTACAGACAAAATTATTCATATTTCCATCTACAATCTCTAATGCCTCTATAAATTACATTTAGCCCCAAATAACTTTACAGTCCCTGCAACTTTGGTCGACATTTTTCATGAAAGAATGTCAACATGCTCATTAAAAACTGGGGTGGGCAGTGTGGCAGGGAGAAGAGTCATTCACATGAAGACACCAACAAGAATGTGTTACTGGAGAGACAAGAAGATTCTGGAAGAGCTGTCAGTAAGGGCCAATGCCAAAATCGTCAGGAGAATTCAAAGAATGGCGGAAGACTTGGTTGTTTATGACTAAATTAGAAATGGGCTACGTGACCATTGTGTAATTTCCTGCCTCCTGCATATCTACCCAAGCACCACCCATCACATAAACCACGTAGAGCATTTCCAGTTGGTGAGAACGCTTTTAACACAGACAATCTCCTGTTGTGTGCAACATGTGTAAAATTTATTTCACTATATAAGTCCATTCACCATTTACTATTTACTGGACAACCCCGACTCTACAATGAAATAAGATTTAATAGATCAATGTATGGGAAACTCTGAATTACTGTATGAAGCACTTGCATATGTCTGTGGTCCTCTGGTGGGAGGGGCTTAGGATGGAGAGCGGAGGATGGAGAGTGGAGAGCTGCAGGAGGAGGGTTTATTTTCAAGTTCTGCCAGTCTTCTTGCCTTTTCCAGATTTCTGCTTACCCTAGCTTTAAACTTTGTGTCAACATGCAACATATCATAGAAGTAAGCAACAGGGCTGTACACTGATCTTTAAAGGGTACTTAAGTACTGCACTTTTAAAAAAGTTTAATGTCTCGTGAGAAAAAAATGGAAGCAACAGAGGTCAAGATATCCAGACGTTTAATCCCTAGCATGGGTCATGCAACAAAAACACTTGTTCCTACGTTTCCTATAATGCACTTTAGTTGGGTTGTCTCTTGAAAGTCAGGGGTTTGAATCCTCAGTCGAGAACCCTCAGTGGACTGAGATTCCTTCAAGACAATCAGTCTCTTCATAGCCGTGGCCACATTATGTTTTTGGGTTGTCGATATCTCAAGAAAACCTTGAGGAATTTTTCCAAATTTGGCACAAACATCCACTTTGAGTCAAGAATGAACTGATTAGAATTTGGTGGTCAAAGGTCAACGGTCCGGGTCACTGTGCCCTTGTCCATCACATTCTCGAAAACGTAGTATCTCAAGAACAACGAAAGGGAATTTCTTCAAATTTGGCCCGAACGTCCACTTGGACTCACAAATGAACTGATGAGAATTTGGTGGTCAAAGGTCAAAGGTTAAGGTCACTGTCACCTTGCATTTTCCATTAGATCCTACCATCACGTTAAACATCCAGGTCACCACATCTCCTTGATTTGTCAAGTTCTGTTTGTAAGGTAAAGAAAGAACAATCAAACTCACATCCCCACTTCCAGTTAAGTCTCCAGTCCGAGACCTACCTAACCCTGATGACATCACTATAACATCACCGGGACTGTTTTCTCAGACTAAAACAAAATACCTCTGGAGTCACCACAGACATTATACAGCTGTTTCCACAGGCTAAGTAGTGCTCCCCATAAATAGTAAATTGATAATTAGCTGGGTGACCCGAGCTCCAAGTCTGCCCATTTCCTCGACCTTCTGTTTTGACGATGATTACAAGTTCCTGATGTCACCTGCAACCGTGCTGTTAATAGATTGTATAAGAACCTTGTAGCTCAGTGTATTCAGACTCACTCCTCCAGTTTGCATCATGTCACGAGTAAGCAAGTCCTTGCATGCCAAACAGATATTCTATAGTGTAGTGTGGGCGTTTCCAGGGCAGGGAGGGTGTCAAGTTGCATAATGGGGAGGTGGTCCACACAAGAAACTGAAGGTCTGGATATCTCGGTCTCTGCCAGATCAATTTACCCCTTAAACATCATGACTGAAGAATGACTACCATGGAGCATGTTTGCATGTTGGTCCTGCTGTTGTGTTTTTGAAAGAGCAAGTTGACGTTAGGCCTGCAGGTAATCTATTATTGATAATTCTGCCAATTATCTCATCAGTTAAATCAATTAATCATTTGGTCTATAGATGGTGTTTTGTCCAACCCAAAGATATTTAGTTTAGTATTGTAGTGACTTAAACATATGATAGTTGCATATTAATTTCCTGTGGTAGACCAAGCTTGTAACATAATGGAGAATGAAAGGCTGCAAAGCTCTGGGTGGAATTAGCAAATATAAGCATGTATTGACATTTGTAGAAGTAGGGCATCACATGTCAGCTGCTCTCTAGAAATAACTAGCTGTATTTTCTGTTTCCAGTGCTGCTTTGATACAGGACTGTAGTATGAGGGTCCCACATCGGGGCTGGTGTTTGTGTTTGTTGTTGACCAGAGTGTGCAGGTCGGTAGAGGACAGCTGGGGTTGACTGTATGAATGCATACAAGTCTCTGGAAGATCAAAATGTCTCCACACAGTTTTAAATTAGCTCTGTGCAGGCAGCATGAAAATGTTTCACTCGTGTAAATGGTTGGGAACAATAGCATCAGTGACATTTTCTCACCAGAGGACACTGGACTGTCTTTATTTCTATTTGCAGGAATCAATCCTGCTACTTGCAGCAGAGTCAATATTGATTTAAAATAATTATAACAAGGAAAACTGACTTCTTGAGCAGAGTGCTCACTATGGTTATACTCTCTTGGGTTATGTTGGCATTGCACAGAGCCACCAAACTTCACAAACCAACAAAAATTACATTAACCCCTGATGAGGAATCCAATATGCAAATAAATAAAAAGACATATATGGGTGGACCACGGGGGTGTGGGGCCTTGAAACCAGACACACAGCCCTTTTAACACTGTTGCTGTAAAATTCAGGATTACATAACTACCCTTTACTTAAACACACAATATGTACTTTCTGCTGCTCAGGGTCTCTCAACAAAAGAGACTTTGATGAAGCAGCACGGGACTGTGGGAGTGTGTCGTCATGTTAAACAACCACCATATTGCAGATGGAAAATCTATCTGACACAGCTCTGGCAGGAATCATAATGACAGACAAGAAAATGTATAAAAGTTTTCTTAACATTATATTCAATCATACTATGTCATGCTACAAAATAGCTAACCTTAATTTGCTAACTTACCATTAGCATTAGATGAGTCGTCTAACACTTATCCATACAGTAAGCGTAGCTAACAAATTGTGATGAGGTCAAGTGCTGATATCATTAAAAACAGTCATACTAAAACTAACGTCATACGTGTGTTGAACGGTATTTCCCACAGAAGTAGACTCTATTTGCGGTGGTAGCTGACTGGTGGGGGTCATGGACCTTCATTAGTACCCTGTAGCAACTCGAATTAAGCCGACCAACTCACCACCAGATCAGCAAACTTTCTGTTGCTGCCGTTACCCAGGTTACACTCAGCGCTGCTACTGGCCACCAGTTTGCTGTGACCCCACCAGCAATTGGGTATTGCAGTGGTTAAATATGAGTTACCACCACGGAACTGAAGGTCCATCTCTGGAGTTGCAGCCCACTCTCCTCCCAGTGAGGTAGTCTTTTAGGTGGGGAGTGAGGCAAAGGGATTGCAGGGGTGCTAGCTATCTAGCTTATACCATTTAACTGGCTTGTCTGATTTGTGTTTTGATAAACACAGACAGAAAGCATTTACTGAGTAAAATTTGGTAACACTATATGATTTTAAATGATGTTTCAGCTGATGTATCTCGTGTTTCATCAGAAGTTAGGGCAAAAGAACGCAGTAAAGGTTATCTGTTAAACCACTGACAGGCGACCAAATGAAACGCACCATTTCTTGAATTAAACTACCGATTCCTCTGGGTTTGATCTATAGACTGTATATAACGATGAACAACGTATCTCTCCTTCCACTGTAAAAAAATCACAGCCAAATATTGCACTTTTGGAGCCAGAACTTGCGCAGTAGCATTCGGGAAGTTGAGCTGTGGTATCAAGTTCCTACCCATAAACCTGTCCTACCCACTCGTGAACAGAGCCACTGAACACAAGCACACCAGTTGAAACACACAGCTGTCAATCATAATGTCACACCCCTTTTTTTAATCGCATCAAATAGCTAATTAAACCCGTACTTATCATAAACATTATTTCTTTAATGACAGAAACCATTTTTAGGATAAGCTTTGGGAGCTGTCATGCTGCCCGACTTCTGAGCATTGTTGGAAACATTTGGGAAAATGTAAGTACACAACTCAAAAATTATATAACATAGGTCCCTTTGTTTTTTATATATTCAAATGCAGAAATGTTATATCTTTATCACTTCATTACATCATGTTCTTTAAGTAAAGCATGGTGTGATGTGATCATATTAATAATTATGACTTTTTGCCATCATATTCCTATAATATTCTCATTCTCTGGTTTATTTCATTGTGGCTGTTTTAATTATTTCAATAAAGTATGAGTTATAGCATATACTTATACCTTGTGATATTAAAAGTATAATAAAAAGTTTGGTTTTCATACAAAATATACCTGAAGCAAGATATGTTCAAATATATGGTTGCTGTAATTTATGCTGTTTTAATTTCTATAATTTATCTCATATTACTACAGTGAAAAAGGACTTTACTACAGTGGTGGAAAAAAGTTTTCGGACACCCTTAAAATTTTACACAATCTCAAATATTATCATGAAATATTTGTGGAAAAATCTTTTCTGTGTTTCAAAAGGTGTGGCTGCATTAGACAGATACAAACAAATACAAATTATATTTTTTTGTTTATTGTTTACAAGAAAAACTAACAAAACTAAATTCTTGACAGTTTCAATATGTCAGTTCTCAACATTGTCGGTATCAAAGTCAACAAATAACAGAGAATGTGTTCAAAACTGAACAAAAAATAAATAAACCATCACATCATCAAATTAATATTTAGTAGTCCTGCCATTGGCACGTAGTAGAGCTCTAATCCTGGCTGGCATGTTCCCCACGAGCCTTTCACACTGTTGAGGGGTAATCTTGTCCCATTCTTCTTGAATTACTGCTTTTAATTCTTCTAAATTCTTTGGTTTATGCTTTGAAACAGACCTTTTGATAATCCACCACAGATTTTCAATGGGGCTCATGTCTGGGGATTGAGCTGGCCACTCTAAGACCTAGATACTGTGCTCCTGCAGCCATGTTCTACTGGCCTTGGATGTGTGGCAAGGGGCATTATCTTGTTGAAACATCCAGTTTTTACCTCGACGGAACAGTGCACGCGCAGAAGGGAGCATGTGGGTTTCGAGAATGGTACAATACTTGGTAGAGTTCAATGTGCCATCACAGACAGTGAGATGACCAACACCAGCAGCACTCATGCATCCCCAAACCATGATACTGCCTCCACCATGCTTGACAGTAGGTACTGTACATGCTGGAGATAATGCTTCGCCTGGCCTTCTGCGTACCCTCACATTAGTAGGAGGAAGATAAAGCTGGAAACTGGACTCATCTGACCACAAAATCTTCTTCCAATTCCTGGCTGTCCAGTTCTTGTGTGCCTGGGCCCAACGACGCCGGGCTAACCTCTGTCTCTCATTGATCAGGGGCTTCCTGATAGCCTTGTAGGACCTTAAGCCATGATCTAAAAGTCGGCCACGTACAGTGCGGGTGGAACACTGGACACCAGTTTGGTTTGACCACTGCTGCTGAAGCTCCTGTGATGTCATTCGGCGGTTTTGCCTGCACATGCGGATCAGGATGCGGTCATTTCTTGCTGAAGAAACCCTTGGACACCCAGATCTTGGTTTGTCTTCCAAGCTGTTGGTTCGTCTGTATTTCTGCAGAGTGTATCCAACTGCTGAAGGACTGCATCTGCACTTCCTGACTATCTGGCGGCAGCTGTACCCTTCCTGGCTGAGAATCTTTATCTTCAGGCGTGTTTCCTGCGTTAGGTTCCTTGTTTTAGCCATTTTTGTGTCTGAAGAACCTTCAAATGTGCTGGCTTTATGTAGACACAAAGCTTGGCAACAAAAATTGTGTCTTTTAATAAAAAGAACGACCTTCATCACTGGTACCAAAATGACCCAATACTCAAAATTTCTTATGTGTTTTCATGGAACCAATCAATTTTAATTTTTTAATGGGTTTTTTAGGATTTATTTAGTATTTTGGCTGTGACTGTACTAAAAGAAATTGCACTTGAAGACCTAAGAGTGATTCTTAGTGCAATATTTCACAAATGCATGGGGTGTCCGAAAACTTTTTTCCACCACTGTATACTTATATTGTTATAAAGTATGTGCTGCTGAATTATCTATCATATAGCCAAGTTGGCTCTCTTTTTCTCCTTGAGGGACTTTTTCAGCTGACTCAGTAATCAGTTTTCCACTGTACTTTTCAACCTCTGATATTTTTCTTTTTAATTCCTGTGGATCAGCGCCCTTTATTTTAATTACAATATTTTAATAGCATATTTATGCAGTTAAACGTGTCTGTGGGCATTAGCCGTGACAAATTTTACACCAACATACGAGACAAAACTCCTATTAATTAAATCCATCAGGTCACAAAACCGTTTGAATGTCCATCGCGATATTTCAGCCGCACTTTTAAAGTAAAGTAAAAAACACGAGACTCACCTGCCGGGAGGCTGATCTCCTCTGTGTCGTCTCCCAGTTTGTCTTTGCAGTGGAAAAGTTTATTGTCAGGCTGGTTTGAGTCCCAGACTAGTTGGAGACCAGCAGAGTCCTCGGGCTATTATCAGGAGCGGAAGCCTCCGCCCACAGCAGCAGCATCATCATCACCTGCAGGGTGGAGGGGAAACACGCTGCTCGTGCTCTGATGAGGATGATGATGCTGTGCAGATTAACGTGACTGCTGATTGTGCAGCCATCGAAACTCTTTTTACCACTGATTAAACTGCATCCACTCAAATTTGTGCGCAATAAAAAAGAAGAAAAAAAAAAAAGAATAAATACCAGTTAATGATGGAGGATAATGAAACTAGAAACTGATATTATTATTATCATTATTATTATTATTAGTTGTAGTTGTAGAAGTAGTTGTGGTAATAGACTTCACCTAAATGTTTTTAAACTAACCTTAACCTGCATAAAAATCATAAATTTTAAGACAGAGAAAAGGGTGGATTTGCTATGAACAAAGGGGTCATTGCTTTGTGGTTTCAATGGAAGCATGGCTGGATTTACTTTTAGGATCTTTCCAGGTATGAAAAATAGATAAAGACAAGGCATCATTTGTGATGCCTTCAGGTACCCGCCAAGTACAGAGCAGGATAGTATGTAGGCCTATACTAAAAACAGGCACGTTAGAGGTCTCACTATTTGATTTTAAGGGAGTTATGCTTAAGGATGTGCACCCAGTCTTTCTCCTTATTAACTAACATAAAAGCAAAATTTTAGCATCACCTTCTCTCTTCATAAACCTATGATAAAGACATCAAAGACACAATGCACCTGTCTTTTTCCATGTGCCAACATCGACCTAACAGTAGCTATCTGTCCTGTAGACTGTGGCTATTTAGGCTGACGTTCTTGCCCCTCATCCACTATCTGCATGTACCATTTTCAAAATCCCCACTATGAGGCGTGCCTGCTTTGGTCTTTTGGTGAATTGTTGTAAAGATCTACAATGAAAACAACTTCAGAAAAGCCCAGACTTGGTTTTACAGGACTTTTGTGGCTGATGTTGAGCTGTTTTCTGACACGGCCAGTCAGAGTTGAATTGAGCTTCTGGGATATCATCTACGAGCCACATATATCTTGCCGTAGGTGTAGATTTCAGGGGGGCAGGGGTCAATATTTAGAACATGTGTAATTGCCCCCCCTGCAAAAACATACAAGTAGCAGAGGACTTTTATTCTGACGAAACTGAAGACATTGACACTGTGAATTGTCATTACTGTTTTTTTTTTGTGGCGTTCTCTTTTGCAGAACATTCGCCATTTTAATGGCAGTGCACCTGTCATGGTATCCTGATCTTAGCAAAGCCCAAGATGATTGTGATTGGTGTAAACAAATACAAACAAGCCACAGCATTTCCCCCCATAGCAGAATAATTATATGTTTCCAGACCTTTCACTGGCGCTGACACAGCACTGTGGAAAAAAGTCTAGTTACCTGAGACCACCTCTCCTGAGGCTACACATGGCGGTTGCATAACAATGCTCAGTTTTCAGTTGGGGCCTCTGAACGAGCCCCTCTGACAGAGAAGCTAGATCTTGGGTTGTGCTGGTGACACTACTGTGTTTGCAGAACTGATGGTCTTTACTAAAGCTTTGTCGGCCATCAGAGAGCGGCTGCCAGTGGCGATCCTAGATTCTGAGGGGCCCCGAGTAAAGCCCATCGAGGTCCTGATGGTTGCGGTGATGGTTATACCTAACATTGTGTGTATGACAGTTACAGGTAGCTAGCTGAACGTCCTAAGGAATGGTATCATCTTTTGAAGGGGCCCCACTTAGGGGGGTTTTGCGGGGAGTGGCGGTGCACTGTTTACAGGGGCGTAGTATAAATCCATGAGCCCCGGGGCATAGATATCCATAAGGTACCCCCATCTCTCCTACACAGGATCAAGACACACACACTTTCTAGTTGTTTAGCCTCGTTTTGTGTCGTTGTTTTGAAACTCTTTGTAGTTGTTTTGTGTCTCTTTGAGGCTGTTTGCATCTCTTTATGGTCATTTTAAATCTCTTCCTGTTAATTTGAGTGACGTTTTGCAGGTGAAGGACAAGGGGCCCCCTTTACACTTTGGGCCCCAGGGCCTTTGCCCGTAGGTCTGTGCAATAATTCTTCCTTGACTGTAGTGCCTTAATGGAAGGTAAAGGGGATTTATAGCTGTCATTGCAAAAAGTGGCCTTCAGGGGCCCCTTTTCCCAAGTACATTTGGCAATGGCTAAATTGTTGCTGAGGGGTTTCTAACGACAGTAGCCAATACAAAAACGCGAAGGGCATATCTATAGCCAGTGTTTGGTTCGTGCATTCTGGGCTACTGTAAAAACATGGTGGTGCAACAAGGCAATCTCCATAAACGAGGACCTGCTCCCTATGTCGACAAACAATTTTAAGTAACGAAGACACAACAATTTTTTATTTCCAGGTGATGATACACTCACTAAAACATACATACTTGTAATACAATATTCCGTTCCTGCCAGTGTATCCCCCTAAATCCTACATCCTGGACCTTTAATGGCAGGACAACTTGTATCCTGTCAGGATTTTAACCCATACCATACAGTGAACACCTAAAACAAGAAATCTTGACCCCAATGATAAAGTTGATTCAACCACTCTCTGAAAACAAACTTAAAGGTTTAATATTATGGCTTCCTGACAAGAAGTCTCTACCTTTACTGTTATTCTTCAACTTGTTTTCCTTGTCGCACTCTATTAGTTTAAACATGTGGATTGATGAGTAAACCAAAGATCACTGACATTTTCTCAATTAGGACAAGTAGACCATGCAGCTTGCAGGGGGTTCACATGCATCCAGTACACAGACACATATATGTGGATTTACACACACACACACACAAGGACACACACAGTTACTTATAAACCCAAGTGTTCACACAATGTGTGAGTCATGAGAACGTGAATGCCGCCTGACTTGGTGCTGTGTTTGCATGCTTGTTTTTGTATTGTTACATAAAAATCTGTGTGTGCATGCAACTTTGCATTGAAGCCTGCGTGACTGTTTTTTTGGGTTTTGCATGCAAAGTATATCAAAATATATTATTTGCATGTGTTTTAGAGTGTGTTTGTGTGTGTGTGTGTGTGTGTGTGTGTGTGTGTTGACCAAGAACACCTTATTACCCATTACCAAGAAAGGCACGACCTTAACGTGACAGCAAAGTCCTACTTTCTGCACACACACCATGATTTTGCATTTTTCATAAACAATAAGCCACAGTCTGAGTTCGATGGGTTCTGACTTTTGTTTGTGTCAGGGAACTGATGGTAAGGAATTTGTTGTTTTTGCATTGGCACCACATGCTGTATCATGCCTACTAAGGAGAGACCGATATGGATTTTTTAGGGCTGATGCCGATACCGATTTTTTTCCATCACCCTTAGCCGATGACCGATTATGGACTGCCGATTTTCTTGAGCCGATATTTGGGGCCGATACTGCTTTTGCTCCCTCAATTTACATAAAAAAAAAGGACACAATGATAACAAATATTACAGGTCTCAAGTTTAAAATAAGAAACATTTATTGAACAGTAAAAAATACTAAAACAAGATGGAAAGTTGAGGTAGAACAGGTAGAATATTATTATTATACATTCAAATAAAAAAAAAGAGGTCAGTGCTCTTAAATCTTCCAGTAGTGTCTTTATAAAAATAAACAAATATTTAATCTGAAGCATAAATAAATCAACAACTACTGTACACAGTAGGATTCAATAGCTTTGTTCAAATTAACCACATACTTTCAAATGAAAAAAAGGGAAAAATAAATCTGCGAACCCATGCGCGTATCGGCTGATGCTGATACAAGTAAAAAACTCAAATATCGGCCCGATGTATCGGTCTATCCTTAATGCCTACTATAAACTGTGCACTGTGCACAAGAACACAAGCCTTTGAATGTATTCATGTGGCTTTGAAATTGCAGCATTATCAGAATATATCAGATTCTTCTTTGGACTTCCTGGTTCCTGGGTTTGATTTTAAAACACAGAAATCTATCAAAAAAGTTGCTTTTTTAAGCTTTCCTAGATGCCAAAATGGTCTCCACTTTCAATTGTACATTCAGTGTGTGTTTGTTCAGTTTGCAATTCTGAAGAAAGATAGCTGATTGTTGAGTTTCATTCCCAGGTCGGATTGGGGATAGGGCTAGACAAGCAGGTTGCCTCTTCCGACTCCTTTTTGGCCATGAAATGTGAATTTATGTCTCTCATAAGTCTGTTCATTCTACAATATATTGTAATTTATTTTATTTTATCTTTTTTTAATGTTCAAAATGAATAAATCAAATCAAAAATCAAATCAAATACCGAAGCTTCGTGTTGGTGGTTTGGTACGACTACCAACACATTTTTTCAAATGTGTCATTTATTCATTTATCCATTTATTTGGCACTTTGAGAACCACAAGCTGAGTGCAATCCAGTGTAATTATATGCAAGGGAAGGCAGACATCTCTACCGCTGACACCAAAACAATCAAGATTGATAAATAGCACTACAAGTAGGAGGAAATATGTGTAGTTTTGGTTTGGGGTAGACTGTCTCTTTCCGTACATTGTTGCTGTTGCTCCATTCAGCCACAAGATGGTGCCAATGCGCAGCTCTGTAAGCAGCAGCATGGAAGCAGAGGCATTTACTCACCATGTATTTGAAGCTCACTGTCCTTCATGGTGGCAAAGCGTTTAGTAATATCATATAATTCCCCACTGGACCCGAGGTCGTCTGCCAGACTCCATCCCGGCTTAATGTCCTTCTCTCTGGACTCAGGCGATCCAGATTTGGAGGAGCTTGGCTTCTCATCAGTCTCTGTTCCCTTCTCGGCCTCTCAGTCATTTTGAGCAGCTGCTTTTCCAGATATCCAGCCTCAGCTGCTGCGATCACAAAATGACACAGTAGAATGGAAAGCTTGTTAACTTTTCTGATCACTTCTTCTGCAGTTTTTTTTTTCTGTTTTCATTGGTATTCGGAGCCCTGACCATGTTTCTCACTAACATGGAGCTACTAATCAAGGCTTATCAACTTCACCTGTACATCCTTCATTCCTTTCCTCTGCCCCTCTCCTCATGTCTTCATCCCTCCTACCATTACCTACTGGAAACACATACAGAGACTTAATGGTTATTTTGTCTCTTTTTGTAATTGTCATTTTGTGTCACTTCATCGTCAGTTTGTGTAATTTTTGGTCATTTTGTGTCTTTTTTTTGTTTGTTGTGCCCCCTTTTCTCATTATTTTGTGTCTCTTTCAGGTT